TGTACATGTAACTGCCTATTTGTCAATACAGATTAATGTGGACTCGGTGCGCAGGGATGTAGAACCACTATTGACATAATGTAGATCTGTTATTCAAAGATATTCTTAGTATTTACTATGTGAATACGATCGTATGGGGATGTACAGCCTACTGTTGACGTCATGATTAGAGTTGAGCGAACCCGGACTGTAAAGTTCGGGTTCGTAAGGAACATTACGTTTTTTGGACCCCGGACTCGAACACGGACATATCAGTGTATGTTCGGCGATTTAATGGCGCGTTCTGAAAGGCTGAAGGGCAGCCAATCAACAAGCGTTTGACTCGTGTGCCCTTAGAAGCCATCACAGCCATGCCTACTAATGGCATGGCTGTGATTGGCCATTGCAGCATGTGACCCAGCCTCTATATATAAGCTGGAGTTGCGAAGCGCCGCACGCACATGAGCTCTTATTTGTGTAGGGAGAGGATGCTGCAGCTGTGAGGGACAGATTAGGAAAGAATTCTGGTGTTGAATCTGCAAACTACTGCGATTATTTTTGTGGATGCTATAATACTACATTTTTGTACCCTGCCCTGAGCCCAGTGCCACAGAGTGCAGTGCACTTGCAACTGCATGTGTGCCAGGCACATTACTTTAATCCTGTTCTGGTAGCTTAGTGGGCAACATCTAGGCATTTTTTTAAATACTGCATATTTTTTGGTGCTAAATAGTACATTTGCATACTGCATTTCTTGAAGTCCAATAAAACCTTTAAATACTACTGTTACATTGTTGGTTTAAAAAAATAAAATCAAACTTTTTGGTGCTAAATAGTACATTTGCGGCCTGCGGTGCACTTCATATCTGAGAGTCAAATAGATCTGTCAAATACTGTGCTTACAGCGCATTTTTAAACATTGAAATTCTTTAGGTGCTAAAAAGTCAATTTGGTGCCTGCACTTCATATCTGAGAGTCAAATAGAACCGTCAAATACTCTGCTTACAGTGCATTTTTAAACATTCAAATTCTTCAGGTGCTAAATTGTACATTTGGTGCCTGCACTTCATATATGAGAGTCAAGTAGAACCATCAAATACTGCTGTGACATAGCAGTTTTAAACATTCATATTCTTTAGGTGCTAAATTGTACATTTTGGGCCTGCACTTCATATCTTAGAGTCAAATAGAACCATCAAATACTGTGCTTACAGCGCATTTTTAAACATTCAAATTTTTTAGGTGCTAAATTGTACATTTGGGGCCTGCACTTCATATCTGAGAGTCAAACAGAACCGTCAAATACTGTGCTTACAGCGCATTTTTTTAAAAAAAAAATCAAATTTTTGGGGCTGCTAAATAGTACATTTGGGGTGTGCACTTCATATCTGGTGTATGTGTGCAACACTGGCTAGTTACCGCTTCTCAAGAAAGTCTAAAGACTTTTTTAAAAATTTAAAAATAAGTGTTATTGTGATCTCTTCATATACAGAAGCATTAATATACATTTCTATATTGTGTAAAGACACAACTACAAAGTTAAAAACCAAACACCAAAACAACGTGGAATGAAGGTCACGCGAGTGACGTGTGCAGTTTGGAGGAAGAGGCGCTAGCCGCACAGAGGCACAGGCACAGCATAAGACGGAGCAGGGTGCAAAAGCGGAGCGGCCATCCCCTAGCGCTTGTCGGCATGCATTATCTTTAGAATTCCCACAGTTATCCAAGTAACGAGCCATTCGCAGTTACACAGTCATGGGGGGGCAGTCCGGTGACCGGGACCCAAACACTGTCTGGGCAGCGGTCGGACGACCTGGACGCAGTATGCCTGATGTTGAAGTTAGGAGTCACAGTGTGGACGTCATCACGTCGTTACGGCATCACGTTACCACGTGAACGGACAAAACTCCAAATACCAGGAAGTACATCCTAAAGTGCCGAAAGTGACTGAGTTTGCTGATAGACACTTTTTAAAGAACACTGAATAGGATCATTTGACTTCTATGTGGGAACGGAGACCATTGTTTTTACTGCAAGAAATAAAGTTTATTCATCTTTTCATTCAGCTGGCGTCCTGCTGTTTCCATCATCATTGAGTCCTGGGTTGTGGACTACAGCTGGATAAGTCAGAGCAGGCTTTCACTGCTCTTCTTTTGTGAGTTACATTCCTATCTTTGGTTTTGATTTTATCATTTTTTAAACAGTATTATACTATGTCTCTCCCTTTGTGCTTCTCTTATATATACCACGTGTCCTAATTACATATGGAGCACCAAGGATATTATTCTCTGTAAGTCATTTTTATATTTGTTTTCACAATATCCACTTGCAATTTTTGCACATATTGTATATGCTGAAGTTTACATATTTTATAGCACTTCTTTGCACCTTTGACACTTGAGTTACACTTGTTTGCACTTTAAATTTTAAAAGTACAGCGCACCTTTTTCTTTCTTTTTTTGTGTATCTATAGGGTGTGTTTTGAGCTTGTGCACTTTAAGGTGCATTTTTTTCAGTAATATTACCTGTGCCGCGCGCTACAGGAGAAAGGCAGCGGGAGATTAGAGAGGTCAATGCGTGGCTAAAGTCTTGGTGCAGGAAAGAGGGTTTTGGGTTTTAGAGCACTGGGCCAATGCTGCGCTTGGGTACAACTTGTATAGTCATGATGGATTGCACCTAAACGGAAGAGGATCTGCTGTGCTGGGGGATAGGATGGCTAGAAGGTTGGAGGAGATTTTAAACTAGTGGTGGGGGGGGAGGGTCAAAGCAATCTAGAAAATGGGGATAGAATGGAAAGAAGATGGGCTTTAGCTCAGAACAAAGGGGTGGAGATGGGGGGAGGGGAAAGCTCAGAACAGAATAGGTATGTAATATTGATAATTCACAAAAAGTACAAAAGACTCATGATAATATTAAATGTATGTTTACTAATGCATGGAGCCTATATAACAAAATGGGGGAACTAGAGGCAATAGCATACACTAAACAATATGATATAATAGGCATAACAGGAACATGGTGGGATGAGACACATGACTGGGCAGTTAATTTAAATGGGTACACGTTATTTAGGAAGGATAGGAAAAACAAGAAGCGTGGTGGGGTATGTTTATATGTCAACCATGAGTTAAAGTCAAATCTTAGGCATATGGAGTATGACGAGGAAAAGGTGGAGGCTTTATAGGTAGATATCTGCTTGGGGCAAACAAAGGGAAATCAATTATTGGTTGGGATATGTTATAAGCCACCTAATGTAAATATTATTGAGGAAGAACAGCTGTTAGAGCAAATTGAGAAAGCTGCAAATCGAGGTAACACGTTAATTATTGGAGATTTTAATTATCCAGACATAAATTGGGAAAGAGGGACTAGTACTTCAGCAAGGGGCATCAGGTTTTTGAATGTGTTAAATGACACCTTTATGTCACAACTGGTACAAGCACCAACTAGAAAGGATGCTTGCCTGGATCTTGTCATAACAAACAATGTTGATCTTTTAACCAACATTCAAGTAGGGGAGCATTTACCACAATATGGTAAATTTAGAAATAAACTCAAAAAAGCAAAAGCAAGTGGGGTATACTAAAACATATAATTTTAAAAAAAGCCAATTTCAATAAGATTAGGGCAGCGCTACAACATATCGACTGGCATAAACTCCTAAGTGATAAAAACACTGAGGATAAATGGAAACTATTCAAACAAATATTAGAAAGGTACATTTCTCAGTATGTACCATTGGGTAATAAATATAAAAGAAACAAATTAAAACCAATGTGGCTTAGTAGAGAAGTAAAACAAGAGATTAAAAATAAGAAAAGGGCATTTAAAGCATTTAAATGAAATAAAATCAGAGGCATCCTATATAAGATATAAGGAAGCCAATAATGCTTGCAAAAAGGCAATTAAAGTGGCTAAACTAGAAAATGAGAAATTGATAGCTAAAGAATGGAAAACCAACCCCAAATTTTTTTTCAAGTACATCAATTCTAAAAAAACTAAAAAATTAAAGTGTAGGTACACTGGAAAAAGCAGAAATTTTAAATAACTATTTTTCTTCAGTATATATTAATGAGGATCCTATGGCAAGAGATATGCAAATGAAAATGAATGTAAATAAAGCTCCGGGGTCTGACGGTATTCACCCACGAGTACTTATGGAGCTAAATGGGGAAATAAATGAACCTCTGTATTTAATTTTTCAAGATTCTTTTGTTTCAGGTGTTGTACCGGACGATTGTGGGAAGGCAGATGTTGTTCCTATATTTAAAAAGGGATCAAAATCCTTACCTGGAAATTATAGACCTGTGAGCTTAACTTCTGTAACTGGGAAAATATTTGAAGGGCTATTAAGGGATAATATTCAGACATTCATTGGGAAGAACTTTGTTATAAGCAATAATCAGCATGGTTTTATGAAACATAGGTCATGTCAAACTAACCTAATTGCATTCTACGAAGAAGCAAGTAGAAGTATAGATCAGGGTGTTGCAGTGGATGTGATCTACTTGGATTTTGCCAAAGCATTTGATACGGTTCCTCACAAAAGGTTAGTCTTCAAACTAAAAGAAATTGGTCTAGATGAATATTCTTGTTCTTGGGTAGAACATTGGCTTAAGGATAGAGTACATCGAGTTGTCATTAATGGTAAATTTTCAAACTGCAATTGGATAAATACTTAAAACATAACATACAGGGATATAATTTCTAATTAGAGGGGTAATAGCTGCTTGATCCAAGGAGACATGTGACTGCTATTTTGGGGTCAAGAAGGAATTTTTTCCTAGTTTGTGGCAAAATTGGAAGCGCTTCAGACTACTTTTTTTGCCTTCTTTTGGATCAACAGCAAAAACATACGTGAGGAAGGCTGAACTTGATGGACACAAGTCTCTTTTCAGCTATGTAACTATGTAAGGTGCTGCTTTACCTTTTTATATGCATATTGATTTATATTTATTGTAACACAGATTTTAGTATTTTAGCGCCTGTTTGCTTGTTTATCTTTTTGTATTGTTATTTGTTGTCAATACCTCCCCGTGTCGGGAGTGGGTAATTTGCACGCCTGCTGCCTTCCTTGCATGTGATAGCTGTTTCTCAGTCTCCCTCTCTGGAATCGAACCTTGATTCCCAGTTACGCGTGGTCACCATGGTAGGCGCGGAAAATAGCATCGAAAGTTGATAGGGCAGACATCCGAATGCGTTGTCGCTGTCACAGGGACGTGCGATCGGAACGAGGTCTGTGACGGCACTTGTCACAGACAAGTGCAGCCACCTGTCCACGGCCAACGTGGACAAGCTCACATTTATTAAAATGAACCAGGCATGAATCCCACCAAACTTGTCTGTACCTTGTGCAGAATAGACATTTATACCGGTCTCACCCAGCCATTGTTATACTCAAGTGCACTTATTCTTTTTTTATATGTCCCAATATTGGCTACCCCAATAAAAAAATAAAAAAAATAAAAAAACAGTGTTGGCTACCTCCTCCGCCGCTTCCACCTACACGGTCACCGCCTCCTCAACCTCCTACTCCGCATCCACCTCCTCCTTCTAGAGCAGGGTGCAAAAGCGGAGCGGCCGTCCCTTGACAGTACGCCTGCTACTGCCCACCGCACCCAGGGACAGAGCACTTTGGGCCAAAATAAGCCTAAAGTGCTCTCCTCTGACAGTGGCAAGAGTTAATTTAATTCTCGTAAAAAACTTTTTGAGCTGAGAAGCCAGTTGGACAGAGAATTCCCTGGAGTGGCAGTTCTTCAGACGATGTGCTGAAGACAAGACACTAGTGGTTTGCACGCTGTGCAATCAGAGCCTGAAGCGGGGCATAAACGTTCTAAACCTGAGCACAACCTGCATGACCAGGCATCTACATGCAAAGAACGAGCTGCAGTGGAGTAAGCACTTCAAAAACCAAGAAATGTCTCAGGCTCCTCCTGCTTCCTCCTGTCTCGGCCTCTTCCTCCACCCCGCAAACAGAGGATGTGGCAGCAACGCCACTACGTCCGCCACTGTCCCCAAGCATCTCCACACTGTCCCATGGAAGCGTTCAGCTGTCCATCACCCAAACACTGGAGAGAAAGAGGAAGTACCCACCCACGATCCCTGGCCCTGAAATGCTGTCATTCCGTCTGGTGGAGACAGACAGTTTTAAAAACCTGATGGCGTTATTGGACTGCAAGAAATGCACCGCAGGCCGCAAATGTTTCTTTTTTTTTTTATATGTCCCAATAATTTGGGGGCTCCCCCAATTAAAAAAAAAAAAAACACAAAAAAAAAACAGTGTTGGCTACCTCCTCCTCCTCCACCGCCACCGCCACGGTCACCGCCTCAACCTATGGGTCACTTAGTATAAACTATGTACACAATAGCAGAGGCTTGTGAAGGCCTTTTCTCCATGCATCAGGAGTTGAGCTCAGTTTGAACAATGAAAGAGAATACCCTGCACTCCAACCCTTTCTCAAATGGATAAATCTGGTGATCCTCCTGACAGCCGTGCTTTAGATTTTGATTTATGTTCTTCTAAAGCTAAAATAAAAGATTCCATCTAGTGCTATTTTATGGCTCAGCTGTATTTTTTTATGTATTTTATGTTATTTTAAGTGATTTCCCTATCCACATTTGTTTGCAGGGCACTTGTCCTATTCTTACCCCCATTTCCTTTTGCATCTCTCTAGCCCTTTCCAGGACTTTTTTAGAGCCATTTTTGTGCCCAAAAGTTCGGGTCCTTATTGACTTCAGTGGGGCTCGGGGTCAAGTTCGATCCCGAACCCGGACTTTTTTCCGAAGTTCGGCCGAGCCCGCCGGACCCGAACATCCAGGTGTCCGCTCAACTCTAGTCATGATTGATATACTCATATATAAATAAAGAATCTTACTTTCGCCATGGCTCCGCCACTAAACTTAAAAACAAAGACTACACTTTGGGTTTCTTTGGTAATTATGCGTTATCAAAATCAAGAGGAGTAGCTATTCTGTTCCGCAACCAGTTACAATTTACATTACTATACCAACAAGCTGATGACTCCGGGCGTTACATCTTTGTGAAGGGGAAGATAGGTCTCCGCACCATCACACTAGCCAACATTTATCTCCCCAACAAAAAACAAAACCAAGCCCTCAAAAAAATACTACAAACACTGCAAAATTTCCATGAGGAGATACTGATTCTAGGGGGCGACATCAACTTCTCCTTAGATGGGCTTTTGGACTCGACAGCCCCACCCCAAAACTCTCTCACTCAAACACGCTTAAGTATACAAAACACTCTATATGAGGCCCAACTATACGATTGTTGGAGAGCATTACACCCGAATCGGAGAGATTACTCTTTCTTCTCTCCCCCTACAAAAACATACTCTCGAATCGACATCCTATTTACTCAGAACAGATACCTACCACTGCTTCACGCGGCCTCTTACGGACCCATTTCGTGGTCAGACCATACCCCCTTGGCAGTAGAGTTGACAATTCCAGACACAATTACCCCGACCTCACAATGGAAACTAAACGATTTGCTGTTGAATAACAGAGAGACCATTGACAGAATTAAAGAATCCCTTTAGAGATATTTTACAGAAAATGCACGACCAGATACATCCCTGGCCTTGTTATGGGAAGCCCACAAGGCAGTCATCAGAGGCGAGCTAATAAAAATAGCCTCTTCACTCAAACGCAGGAGATCACAAGTAGTGGATCGGCTGATCAAAGACATTAAAACACTAGAACAAGCACATCAATCCTACAACTCTCTTAATATTTACAAAACACTAACGGCCAAACGCTCAGAATTGAACACAACTCTCCAACTCCATGCAAAACGCACGATAACACTCACAAAACATGCACATTATTCCAAAGGGAGCAAAGCTGGGAAAATGCTAGCATCAGCGCTTAGACAAGAGCAACAATCTACGTTTATCCCCGCCATAAAACGAACTGATGGCTCTAAAACACAACAAATGCCTGACATAATAAAATCATTTCACGAATTTTACACCACCCTTTATAATTTGAACCAAACGCCTCCAACTAAAGAAGACATAATTAACTTCCTCACACCTAGAATAAAACACACATTCCCGACCGTAGAGGCAAACTTCCTAGATGAACCAATCTCGATAGAAGAATTCACACAAACCACTAGAACCATCCCACTAGGGAAAAGCCCTGGCCCTGATGGATACACAGGTAAATACTACAAAACTTTCTCCCAAGATGTAGCACAGCATTTCGTTGAAGCATACAACTCAAACAACCTGGCCACATCCATCCCCAAATCTGCCTTGGAAGCAACCATAGTTCTTATCCCTAAACCAGGGAAAGACCATGAGCTGTGCAGCAGCTACAGACCAATTTCCCTGATCAATATAGACCTAAAAATTCTAACTAAAATAATGGCCACTAGATTAAAACCTCTCCTCCCAAAATTAATACATCAAGACCAAGCCAGATTCATCCCAGGTAGGGAAGCAAAGAACATAACCAAAATCTTAAACTTAATGTACTGAGCCCAAAAACATAAAACACATAGCACTGTTATCCATTGACGCCGAAAAGTCATTTGACAGAGTGAATTGGGGACTCATAACTTACACGATGTGCGGATTGGGCTTTGGCCCGCGATGGTTGGACTGGTTGAACACAGTCTACTCGTCGCCCACGGCCCGAGTCAACTCTCTCACCAAGTAAACATTACAAACGGGACCAGGCAGGGTTGTCCCTTGTCGCCCCTCTTATTCGTACTAACACTAGAACCCTTCCTCCAAGGGATAAGAGAGGATCACGAAATTCAAGGTATTAAAATCAAACATCAAGAATATAAGATCACGGCTTTTGCAGATGATCTTCTGTTTACGGTCTCCCATCCAACGTCCACAATCCCCATCATACTGGAGGAAATGGACATTTACAGCAAGGTCTCTTTCTTCCAAGCGACTCTCACAAAATGTGAGCTCCTGCCTATCTATACGACTCACACGCTAAATAGCCAACTCCAAGAAACATTCCATTTCACGTGGGCTAACAAAGCTATCACGTACCTGGGGGTACGACTCCCAACCGACCTAAACTTGTTATATGAGCTGAATTTTCTCCCACTCCTCCACTCCATTCACGCTGACTTAAAGAGGTGGCACAAACCATGCTTCGGGTGGATTTGTAGAACAAACAATCAAAATTAATATACTCCCCCGCATATTGTACCTCCTGCAAACACTGCCCATCACTCTGCCAAAGAGTTTCTTTGTCATGGCGAAAACATATATCACCAAATTTGTTTGCTCCAACCTGCAACCCAGGCTAGCATATGAGCTACTAACCCAGAAAAGGGAGAGAGGAGGATTAAACCTTCCAGATATAGACAGCTATCACAAGGCCATCCATCTAGCTAGATTATATGAATGGAGCAGACAGCTAACAGCACACCAATGGGTACTCATTGAAAATTCATTCTCAGACACACCACTACACCAATTAATCTGGCTGCACCCGGACTCTGGAAAGGCTCACTTCCGCACACACCCAACCATTAGGGCAACCCTCAAGATATGGTATACCCTCTCACGAAACACAGCCATTTCACCGTATCCCTCCCCACTCTATCCAATCTCCAACAACCCTTAATTTCTGGATGGTAAAGCAGGGAAGATCCTCCAATCGTGGGAGGAGCGACAAGAGATCAAGCTTTTAGATCTAGTAATTAACCACAAGATTATACCAATAAGCCAGCTCATGCCTAGCACCAAAATTACGGGCAACTCATACAGACAACTCATACACTTCATCCAAACTAATCAACTACTACCCAGAGGAAGTAGAGATCTAACAGAATTCGAGTTATTATGCTCTATTCACTCCCTTAAGATTAGAGTCCTCTCCACTATGTACAAACTATTGCAGGACTTACAAACCACAGCTCTACCAAAGCTCACTGTCAAATGGTCTGAGGAACTCAATATTAATTTCTCTCACCAACAATGGAGGTCCATCTTTACTACGATACATAAATCTTCCATTTCAACAATATCCCAGGAAAGCAACTACAAAAGAATCACTTGCTGGCACCTAACTCCTGAGAAAATTCACAAAATACATAAAACCTCAGATAACAGATGCTGGAGATGCTCACAACCCGAGGCGCATCACGCTCACATTTGGTGGCAATGCCCTACAATTGAGAGATTTTGGAGAAGGATCCACACCATTACCCAATCCGTCACCAAATCACAACTCCCTTTCACGCCAGACCTCTTCATCTTTATGGTGACCCCACCGGCCATGAAAAAGCCAACCAGGTCTCTGATTACACATCTGCTCATAGCTGCAGCACAACTAATACCAAAATACTGGAAGCAGGTCGACCCCCCTCCAATTAGGGAATGGATAGGGAAGGTAGAATTTATCAAACAAATGCAGGAG